ATATAAGGACATGAGGCCACTCTGTCTGTCCCCTGATGGTCCAGCTGGTGGTGGTGGTGGTGGGGGGGGGTGGAGAGTCTTATCAGCTGATTAGCTGTAAGAAGATTAACAACGTCTCAAAACTCTGATTCTCTGGAGGAATATTTGTTTCAGTGTCGTGAGCTGCAGAGGACGATGAAGGTCTGAGGAAGGACAGACCGCTGCTGTCTACAGGTACACTTCTGTCCTGTGTCCTGTGTCCTCTGTCGTCTCTCCTCTACCCTTCGTCCTTTTCCTGTGTCCTCTGTCCTCTGTCCTCTGTCCTCTCTCTTCTAACACTTTAGTTTGATTGTAACAGTTCAGTTTGATTGTAACACTTTAGTTTGATTGTAACAGTTCAGTTTGATTGTAACCGTTCAGCTTGATTGTAACAGTTCAGCTTGATTGTAACAGTTCAGCTTGATTGTAACAGTTCAGTTTGATTGTCAGTTTAGTTTTATTGTAACAGTTTGATCAGAATAATTATTGATCGTTTTGTGTATCTGTGACATCACCTGATCAAAGATAGTTTCTGTGAGAGAGATGCTCCTCTCTGATGGATCTCTTCCTCATAGTAGTAGGTCTATATTAGTAGGTAATATGCTCAGATGTTCAGATTCTGATCAACATGTGGAATATGATTCTTATTGATTATGAGATTAATGGTTCAGTTTTATTAAACGTTGACCTTCTTTCTGCAGTGAGTCCTGGTTGTGGAGTCGTTGACTGCAGTCAAGAGAACCTAAAATACCTCGTTAATCTCCTTATGACGCTCTGAGAGCAGCTTTCTCTGAACCTTCAACTCCAAACCCTAAACCCTGAAAGCTGAACCCTGAACTCTTAACCGTGAACTATGAAAGCTGAACCCTGAACTCTTAACCCTTAACTATGAAAGCTGAACCCTGAACTGTTAACCCTGAACTATGAAAGCTGAACCCTGAACTGTTAACCCTGAACTATGAAAGCTGAACCCTGGACACTAAACCCTAAACCCAGAACAAAGAATCTAGAACACCACACAGGGCTACGACTTGGTTAACTTTGAATAGGGTTTACGCTCAGCACCATTTTGTGAGTCAGAACTAGAACCTTCCAAATAGAAGCATCAGGGTTCAACAGATGAGAGGCAAGAAAAATCTGATTGGACGAAACAATCTGGCAAGAACCAACGACTGAAACTCAACACACTGTAAAACATCTACACTGTAGAATGTTTCATTCTCCAGTTTAACAATTTAATGTTGAAGATGTTTCATTTCAGAAAACAAATGTTTCAGACTGAGTTTTCGGGAAATGTGTCTAAAGTGTCTCACAAGACATTTAGAAGACAAACAAGTCTTTTTGAATTTGTCATTTAAAGTGGAAATCTGAGTTGAGTATGTATTTTAACTAACTAATGGACCAAAAGTTTTCAACATTGCTACAAACAACCTGCTGAAAGTAATTTAGCCATGAAGATGATGTCATGTGGAAAGTTGGCGTCTTCTGAATGCAGCCCCTAGTGTTCGTAAGTGGTACAGCACCTTAAGTCCAGTTCTCCACCATGTTTCTGCCGACTTGGACGTGAGACGTAAAAACATGGTGGTGGGGAAGCTGACCTTCACCAAGCCGGAGAGAGAGAAGCTAGCCAAGGTCCTCTGGCTGCTCAACTGGATCTCCGTCTTGACCGGAGCGATCCTGTTCAGCCTGGGCTTGTTCCTCAAAGTAGAGATCCAGAGATGGCAGGAAGTGATGTCAGAGGGGATCCTCTATGTGCCACACATGCTGATCACCACCGGTCTGGCCGCCTGCTGCATCAACTTCCTGGGTGGGAAGATCTGCCTGGACTGCACCGACACCAACAAGTTCCTGCGCTGGAAGCTAGTGATGATGCCGTACATCATCTGCACCTTGTTCTTCACCTCCTGCGTCCTGGGGGGGGCGCTAATGTGCTACAGCATCCGGAGCCAGCTGGAGGACTCACTGGCCCTGGGCCTGAGGAACGCCATGCAGTACTACAAGGACACTGACACGCCGGGCCGCTGCTACCTGAAGAAGACTCTGGACCTACTGCAGATCCAGTTCCAATGCTGTGGGAACTCCGGGTACCAGGACTGGTTCCAGGTTCAGTGGATCAGCAACCGCTACCTGGACATGACCAGCAGCAGCGTGGTGGAGTAAGTGTAGCCAGATCTGCTAAGTCCTTTGAGATCTCCAGGGATCTTTGTTGATTTCAGTAAATCCTGCTGGATTCAAGCACATTATTTCTGTGTCTAGTGGATTCCAACAGTTTCTAGTGGATCTTGGTGAATACTGGAAGATCTACACTGATGATGATTTCAGTGCTCTGTAGTAGATCCCATGAGGGTTCTGGAGTCCAGTATGTTTAACTAGAGTGTTAAAGATCATCCTACATTTAAAAGGTGACTTCAGACTGAATCCAAAGCTCAATTCAAGTAAAAATATGTAGATGAATTCCAATAATTCCATAGATTCTAGAAGACCTTGGTGGATTCTGGTGGATTCTAGTGGACCTGAAAGGAGTCTATAGGTCTCTAGAACTCAATTCTAGTATAACCCAGTTGTTTGTTTTGGTTTTGGTGGATCCCCTAATAGATCTCCCTGAATCCAGAAAATGGGTTCTGGTGGATGATCAGCTTGGATTCCAGTGAGTCCAGTTAGATTCTGTAGAGCAACCATGGTGTCTACTTGACTAGGAAGGAGTCTGTGGATCCAGCTGGACTGCAGTGTAGATTCACTGGTGTAGATGTGGGTCGTTAAGAAAAGTAAAGGTCCACACGGTAAACAGTCCACTTCAGTTAAAGGTCCTGGGATTAGTGAGGTTTAACCAACAGGGTTCAACTCAGGCTCACTCAGAATGAGATAATCTGTTTCATTCTCCGTCCTTTAACATCAACACCCAGGTCTGTGTTGTAGCTTAGTAACAACCAATGAAAACGAGGCATTTCAAAATAAAATCAAACTCTAACAGTTTAACACAACAACTCAGGATGTACAGCTGTCTGAGGAGTAACATGGAGGGAAAGTAATATTAGTAGCAGTAGTACTAGTAGTAGTAGCAGTAGCACTAGTACTAGTAGTAGCAGTAGTACTAGTACTAATACTAGTAGCAGTTCCTAAATGCCTGCTCCTCCTTCCAGTCGCCTGAGGAGTAACGTGGAGGGGAAGTACCTGACGGAGGGCGTTCCCTTTAGCTGCTGCAGCACCTTGTCCCCTCGGCCCTGCATCCAGCAGCAGGTTGGCGACAGATCGCCTCATTTCAACTACGACCAGCGGAGCCAGCAGCTGAACCTGTGGAGGAGAGGCTGCCGACAGGCCCTGATGGACCACTACACCGGCATCATGCAGTCCATCGGCCTCACCGTGCTTCTCATCTGGCTGTTCGAGGTGCACATAAATATATGCATTGTACAGAAAGCATGAAACATGGTGCAGGAAGCTGAAACAACTGAAGATATACGGCTGAGGAATAACATGGAGAGGAGGTAGTGGTAGTAGTACTAGTAGTAGTAGTAGTGGTGGTTGTACTACATTAAATTACATTACATTACAATCATTTAGCAGACGCTTTTATCCAAAGCGTCTTACAATAAGTGGATTCAACATCGGTATTCAAGAGAACTACTAGTCACCAGAAGTCATAAGTGCATCTCCTTTTTTAAACAAGCATCATAAAGCAGAGCAAAAGTACAGAAACAAACTAATACGAATACAATAAGTGCAACAAACTAGTATGAATACAGTAAGTGGTGAGTGGAAGGCTCAGGGTAGTACTTCTTGAAGAGGTGAGTTTTCAGCCTGATGAAAGATGGGCAGCAACTCTGCTGTCCATACGTCAGTGGGGAGTTCATTCCACCACTGTGGGGCCAGGACAGAAAACAGCCGCGACCGGGTCGATCGACCACACGGACCACTGAGCGACGGGGCAACCAATCGCCCCGAGACAGCAGAGCGAGGTGGTCGGGCGGGGGTGTAGGGCTTGACCGTGGCCTGGAGATAGGAAGGAGCTGTTCCTTTCACTGCCCTGTAGGCTAGCACCAGAGTCTTAAACTGGATGTGAGCTCTTACAGGGAGCCAGTGTAGAGAACAGAGAAGGGAAGTTGTGTGGGAGAACTTGGGGCGATTGAACACCAGGCGAGCTGCAGCTTTCTGGACAAGCTCCAGAGGTCTGATGGCCGACGCCGGGGCTCTGGCAAGTAGAGAGTTGCAGTAATCCAGGCGGGAGATGACAAGAGCCTGGATGAGCACCTGCGCCGTCTCGTCAGTGAGGAAGGGGCAAATCCTCCTGATGTCGTAGAGCAGGAATCCGCAGGAGCGTGTAACCGATGCAATGTTTGCTGAGAACAACAGTTGGTCATCCAGGGTCACAACCAGGTTCTTCACAGTCTGAGTTGGCGCCACCACAGTATCATCAATGGTGATGGACAGGTCTCGGTGCGGGCAACCCTTCCCCGGGAGGAACAGTAGCTCGGTTTTGTGTCATCGCAAGGAGGGCTGTCTCTGTCGAGTGACCCACCTTGAACACGGACTGCTGGGGGTCCAAGAGGCTGTTCAGTTGGTTAAAGACAGCACGTTCAATGACTAATGTGTCAAGCTCCTCCATGAACTCACCAAGAGGACCTGGTGGGCGGTACACAACAGCAATGGTGAGCTTGACTGGATAAGTGACAGTAACAGCATGAAATTCGAAAGAGGACGGGGAGAACTGTGGAGCAGAGACAAGAGAGTATTTCCATTTTAGGGAGATTAGCAGGCCAGTACCACCACCTCGTCTCGCAGCTCTGGGAGTGTGAGAGAAAGAGTACACATCTGACAGAGCTGCGGGTGTGGTAGTGTTTTCTAGTGTGATCCAGGTCTCTGTTAGAGCAAGAAAGTTGAGGGAGAGCAAGGAAGCGTAGCCTGAGATTCTAAAGCCCCCCTGCCACCACTTGCTCACCATGAGCTGAGAGAGTAGGATAGATGAGATTAGTGGGGTCACGGCACCTGGGAGTGGCCCAATGTCTACGTGACCACCGGACAGAGGAACGGACAGAAATAGGATGCAAACACATGATAGTCAATATAAACAGATTACTGACCCGCAAGTACACGCTCGAGAAGTCTTTGCTTGACAAAGTATGGCTTAAAAAAGTCGCCCTGTTGCCTTCGTTTGCCCGACGCTTGGAAGCTGATGTTTCAAACCACCAGCAGTGGTTAAGGACAGCTACCTACTGATTGCTCATTGTCTGCCAGGAGTGCAAGCCACGCCCCTGCCACTTAACAGGGCAATTGACCAGGTGAAACTAAATCACCTACATTACACAGACAGAAACTGCAAAAGTATTAACACTGAAGCAGCCTAGGTACAGCTAATAACAACTACTTAGTATATTGTTATTGAACAATATACTTAAGTCTATTCTAGGTGAGTCAGTCGCTCAGTATCCCTCCAGAAGCAAAATACACCCTAGTGGTAGTAGTAGTAGTAGTAGTGGTGGTGGTAGTAGTAATAGTAGTGGTAGTTGTAGTGTCTGAGGAGTAACATGGAGGGGAAGTAGTGATAGTAGTACGAGTAGTAGTAGTAGTACAGGTAGTAGTAGTGGTAGTAGTAGTAGTACTAGTAAGTACTAGTAGTAATAGTGCTAGTAGCAGTAACAGTAGCACTAGTAGCAGTAGCACTAGTACTAGTAGTAGTAGTAGAGGTAATAGTATGAGTAGTAGTAGTAGTACTGGTAGCAGTACAAGTCCACCGCTGTCCTCCTGGGACCAGTTTAGTCTGGCCCGACCTCAGATTAAGGGCCATGTAGTCCCACTTGTTACACTAAAGACATCATGTTTTTCTCCTCCTACCAGCTGCTGGTTCTGACCGGAGTCCGTTACCTGCAGACGGCCATGGAGAACGTTCTCCGCCTGGGGGATCCGGACTCAGAGGTTGATGGTTGGATTCTGGAGAACAGCCTGGCAGAAACAGCCCGTTCCAACTTTGACATCATCAAGAACATGGGGAAGTGTTACCAGGTCGACAACGACCCCAACATCAACATCCCGACCGCCGCCGAGCAGGAGGTGCCGTCCCGCCAGGTCCGGATCCCTGTGACCAGCTAACATCTGGAGAACCTCTGAAAGACCAGGACTAGAAGGGAACACCTCAGGTCCAAAATCTCTAGTGTTGCTCTGTCGATGCTTCCTGAACTCAGACTCGGGTCCGGCTCCGGGAGGCTCTGAGGAGGATCCGCCCTCTGGTCCTCGTACATTCAGTATTCGATGCCTTCCAGCTGATGAATGTCTTGTTAACACGTCAGAGGATCAATAAAGTTATTATGGTCCATCCTCAGGGGAACACAAACCCACAGCAGGCTGATCAATATAAAGAAGAATTAACCAGGACCAGATGGTCGACCTCTAGAACTCAGAGAAGGTTTGAACTGGTTTCTCTTTGTCTTCTTCTTCATGTGTTCTGTAGCAGGTCTAAAGCTGGTCTAAAGCTGGTCTAAAGCAGGTCTAAAGCAGGTCTAAAGCTGGTACAGATACTGGTCTAAAGCTGGTCAAAAGCTGGTCTAAAGCTGTTCTAGAGCTGGTCTAAAACAGGTCTAAAGCTTGTCTAGAGCTGGCCTAAAGCTGGTCTAAAGCTAGTCTAAAGCTGGTACTGATACTGGTCTAAAGCTGATCTAGAGGTGGTCTAGAGCTGATCTAGAGCTGGTCTAGAGCTGGTCTAAAGCAAAGTAAAGATACAGGTCTAAAGCTGGTACAGATGTTGGTCTAAAGCTGGTCTAAAGCTGGTCTTGAGTTGGTCTAAATCTGGTACAGATGTTGGTCTAAAGCTGGTCTAAAGCTGGTCTTGAGTTGGTCTAAATCTGGTACAGATACTGGTCTAAAGCTGGTCTAAAGCTGGTCTAAAGCTGGTACAGATACTGGGCTAAATATGGTCTAAAGCTGGTCTAAAGCTGGTACAGATACTGGGCTAAAGCTGGTCTAAAGCTGGTCTAGAGCTGGTACAGATACAGGTCTGGCCACGTTTAAATGAGGGAACAACTGGTGTGGTGGTTTTCAAAGGGTCCCTTGACCTCTAAGCTCAAGACGTGTAGGAATCTGAAATGCAGTGTTTGAATATTTCTGGCATCTAAACAGTCTATTAATGTATAAATTGGTTTTGAAAGGAAAGCTGAGACTCTTGTGGATCCAGAAAGTTTTAGAAACCAAATCACAACATGACTTCTTCTATGGTGCTCATTGAACTCTTTGTGTCTTAATGTTGGATTTTTATCAAAGTTTGTTACATTTAGCACCAAATCTGAGGAACAAAAAAGGGATCGAGGCCAAAAGTTTCAGCTCTGTCTCCTAAAATAACAGAAAGGAAACAAGAGTCTGAAGTCTGTGAAGGGAGGAGGTCTAAGAACAGGTGGGTCATAAACCTGGTAACATGAACAGGGTTTAACAAAGATGTACTTCAGCATTATGTTCTAGTACTAGTTCTAGTACTCCATCATAATGTTCTAATACTAGTTCTCATACTAGCTAGTACTTCCATCATAATGTACTAATACTAGTTATACAATATATAAAACACCAAACTGGGTGCTGAGAAATGAAGCCAAAGCGTCAAAAACTGTAGTTCCTCAAATATCCACGAGAGTCGGTCCCCATAGACCTCTATGGCAGAATGAAGATATTTACAGTCTGCTAGTAAACACGGTGTCGGTCTCTAAAGCTAACAAACCTATTCATAACAACTCGTTAGTCATGAGGACGTGGCCTCAGGTGGGTGGGTGTGGTCTCAGGCCGCTAGCTGCTACCTACTAGTGTCATCATTTCTAGACTTAGTCTGCGTTACAAATCTCAAACTTTTGTTTTTATTTTAGTTTAAACAGCTGATTCATAATAACATAGTAATGAGTCAGAAAACATCCAGCCAATCAGATTCCAACAGCAGGTCTTCTTCTTAAAGGAACAGTCCAACATTGGATTCATCTCTATGCATGTGGTTAGCTTAGCTTAGCATAAAGACTGTTCCAGAGGAAACTAAACTCTGATTCTTTGATGATGTTAAAAAAGATTTTGTTTGTATTCATGAACATGTGACTGCAGGTTTATTCATATTTAGTCTTTATGTTGTGACTTCTCCTCAAATAAAATATAAATACCTTCTTATTATTGTTTTATTAAAATGTGAAATGAGATCATTAAACGACCTGTCTGTCTGTCTCAGTTAGTCTGTCCTTTTGTCTCTCTCTTTGTCTGTCCGTCTGACTGTCTGTCTCTCAGAGGAGAGGAGAGGAGAGGAGGAAGGAGAGTGGAGAGGAGGAAGGACAGATAGAGAGCAGCAGAGTAAGCTGGGGAATTTAGGACCATGTGGTCATCACCCTGACAACCTGCTCCTCCTGTGATTGGCTGTTGGTTTAGCTGCAGTTCTGCTGAACACCAGCAGGAGGAGTCAAAGGTCACTGATGACCAACAGCAGCTCACCATTCAGTACAGTGGACTGGGAGTACTGGGAGTACTAGGAGTAGTGGTTCAGCACCTGGGACAGGACCAGTTTGTCTCTGTAGTACAGCAGTTATAGTAGTGGTAGTAGTAGTAGTAGAAGTAGTAGTAGTAGTAGTGATGGTAGTTTTAATAGTAGTAGTAGTAGTTGTACTAGTAGTAGTAGTGATGGTAGTTTTAATAGTAGTAGTAGTAGTAGTAGTAGTAGTGATGGTAGTTTTAATAGTAGTCGTAGTAGTAGTAGTAGTAAAACAATAAAACCTGTCCAGTCTAGCGAGGGAAATGAAGTGTCCTCTAGAATGAGCCCACGTACAGTATATTGTCTCTTGTCTCCATTCATCCTCCTCCAGACATCGACCACCTCACGCTCCTCTAACAGCTGCCTCAGTGCTCTCTGTGAAGGCCCGTGAGGTTCCAGGTGGTTCCTGTCTATTGACTCATTCTCAGTGCAGTTAAAATCTCCTCCCAAAAATAAAAAGTCCTCCACATTCACTCTGCCTAACACACTGCTTAAGACCTTTAAAACACACTGGTTCAGGTCCAGACACAGGAGCATACACGTTCATGAAGACATGAACGCCCTCACCACCAGCAGCCTGCCCTCCACCACCTGCTCCACCTCTAACGACTTCGGGGCAAATCTTTTGGAGAACCACCGTTGCAGCACCACCTCGCCCCCCCCACTCTCTCTTCCATTCAGTCTCGTTGGCCGAGTCACTGTGAGTCTCTTGTAGAACCATGGGGGCGACCATGGCTTACTGGGTAGAGAGGGTTGTCCGCCAACCGAAAGGTCACCAGTTTGATCCTCGGCTGCACCGTGTCCTGTGTCGAAGTGTCCCTGAGCAAGACATTGTACCCCTAACTGATCCCTGGGCGCCTGTCATTGGCAGCCCACTGCTATCCCTATATACAGGGATTGGTCAAATGCAGAGAATAATTTCCCCACTGTGGGACTAACAAAGGAATGTTTCTTCTTCTTCTAGAAACATCACGTCTGTCCCTTTGATCTTCATCAGCTGATCGAGTAGAGACCTCTTCACTGAGTCTCTGGCTCCATTTACATTTAAGGTGTTTATGTTTAAAAGACTCAGTTACATAAATTAAAACCAACAAACAGAACATTATCTTTGGCTTGAAAATAGGCTGTGAGACCTTATTATTTAGCGGTGCCTGAACCGATACTTAAAAAAAGAAAAGCACAAAACGACGATTGACGACATTAAAGAAAGGCTTTTTTTTATTGCTAAGGCAAATTCTTTTCTTCAAATTGAACAATATATTAACTGTTTAAAGTATACTATAATATAAATAAATACAAAACACTTGGCTTCAAACTACAGGTTCAAACTTTTTAACTTCAAACTGTGAACAATATATTAACTGTTAACAGTTTACAGTATACTTAAATCAATATAAATAAATACAAAACACACACACACACACTCTGTACACACACTACAGCTTCAAACTTCAGCAATTATTTTGCAGAAATATGAGCATATTTGCCTTCTCTGGCAAAAACCGACACCTCTCCTGACAATATTTTATTATTTTATTTATTTTACCAGTTGGTGGCGGTAATGAGCCAATTCATCGTTTGCCAACCGCCACTACACCTCAAAGAAGAAGAAGAAGAAGAAGAAGAAGAAGCTTTCGCGTGCCTGTGCATGTTGTGCTTATGAGCGGCAGCGCTAAGTACGCGGATGTCGATGGAGGAAGTCAGTAGCCTGCCAGCCGTTTTTTGTTTTTTTTAAATAAATCATGGCGAAGCTTCGGCAGAATGATGGAGGGGTTTGTTTCTAAGCGCGCACGGCTCGTCCGGTTGTAATAATACTATAAGTGAGGAGTGGAGGACCGAGGCTATCGTTAGCTGCTGCCAGGGCGGAGTCATCAGAGTAGTGTAAAAAAAGTATTTCAATCGGCTCAGGCACCGAAAGGAAGCACCGAAATCTGCGTTGCGTTTCGGTCCGGTCCGGTAGATACCGGTCGTATAGGAACCGTATAGGAGCCATATTGGCACCGGTTTTCGGTACCCAACCCTACTCCTGTCCCATCTTCTTCCACCTGCTGGACCCCCCCTGCCCCCTCTTTACTCACCTGCTGCACCCCACCTGCCTCCTCCTGTCCTTCCTGACCGCCCTGCTTGTCCCCTCTGTCCTCCTCAGTGTCTTTCTGTTTTTTTTCTGCTTTCTGTTTTTTTTTATTGGCACCGTCCTGTTCAGCAGAGTTTTTTTCAGGACATGCTTTACTCTGATGTCCCTCCTAAACCACAACTGAAGCATTTCAAGTTATCGAAGTCACAAAAATCACATAGTCAAAGTCCTCCACTCTCAGTTTGAACACGAGGTTGAGCTCTTCACTCCTTGTTCAGGATCATGATCCTGTGAGACACCACGTGTTTTAGTAGAGGAGACTTGCAACCAGAAGACAGTTTTTCCGTGTCTGGACAGCTCTCTGGTTAGTGTCTCGTCTCTAATGAACGGTGGGACATTGGACACAGTGACTTTAACCGAAAAAAAACCCTGTGAACCCTGCACACCCCACTACACTATCATATACAACATTACACAGTGAAGAAAAATGTCGAAAAATCGCTATTTAACGCTCTCAAACATGCTCCGCCAACTCAACACTCCTTCCACTCAGAGAGAGAGAGATTTTTGTTGATTTTTAGAAAACCTTTATTTTACTTAAAACAATATAAACAAACAAAACAGTTACTCCTCACAGTGTGTTAAAAGGAGCATTAAAAACTAGTTCTCCAGCCACACAACGTATTATTTCACTGCAATACCACTTTTCAATGAAATCCTTCATGTTGTTCATACTGTTGAAATATCTAAAATCAACCCAAACTCTTGCTCTGACCAGAGCGATGAACATAGGGAGAGCTTCCTGTCCTGCTCTGTCCTCTACTCGGTTCTTCCTACTTTTGTAAATTGACAGTTTGGCCTCTCCAACCAAGTGGTTCAACAGCTTCCATTTAGAGGCGTTCACCTTTTTATATAAGACTCCAAGAATGAAGGTGGTCCTGGACCAGGTCTCACCAAACCCTTTAAAAACATCCTGCAGTGTGTTAAAAAGGTTGCAGAGTCTGTCACAATGATAAAAACAGTGGAACACGGTCTCTACCTCCTCACAGAATGGACATTGGCTACAAACAGTGGGATTAATAACAGAAATAAAAGCGTTAACCGCAATAGCACCGTGCAAAATCCTCCACTGTAGATCTCCAGTTCTCTTTTTAACAGGAGGTTTATATAAAACCCTCCAACCTGGTTTCACACCAATGTCCAAGTTCAGTTTCTGTCTCCACACAGTGTCGGCTCTCTGGTCCAGTTTGTTTTTGTTGAGCATTTTTACACAGTTTGTGTAGATAGTTTTCCCTTTCACTATCTGGAGGTCCAAGAGTTTACACTCCGCTTCATTGAATAAGGGTCCTGAGACCCCATCCAGCCGTGGAATAAGTTCTAGATCCGGAAATGGATTTGCGGAATCAGGAGCTTCCTCTCCTCTTTCGTACTCCTGCAGCATCTCGACCTCGTCCTCCGTCAGTCTCCCCGCCCATCTGCTCAGGATCCTCATGCTCTGCTGGATGGATCTCAGCCTGAGCAGAGAAGCCACTGCAGATGCGTCGGTCAGTCTGGGCCCAGCTACATCCACTACTCTCCTCAGGGTGGTGGTTCCGGAGGAGCACAGCATGCTGGTCAGACCTGGTGTGCCGTCTTGGATGTCCAACCTGGCTCCGTACACCAGCGGTTCCTGAAGCAGCCAGTGTAGGGAGTATGTAGGTTCTGGTCTCTTCCATTCAAAAACATTCCAAGCCTTAAAAAGTGACTGGTAAAAGGGAGATAATCCACACAATTTAAAAAGGTTAAAATCCATTAAAAAAAGTGCAGTGTCCAGCCCCAGACCAGCTGCCTTCCTTAAAATACAGTCTATCACCTCTCTCCACACCACATCCGTTGGACCTGTGAGGTACTTTTGTAAAAACTGGAACCTGAAAGTGGTCACTCTGCTGTCAATGTGCACCAGCCCCTGACCCCCCCTCCTCCTTAGGTAAAAAGAGTACGCTCTGAGGTCAACCCCCCTGGTAGGCTGGGCAGACACTCC